GGCCGCCCGGGGCGCGTTCCCCACCCGCGCCCGCAGTTTCCTCGCGCCCGCGTCGCCACCGTGCGGGGTCGGGAGATCGGGGAACCTTCTCGGCGAACACGCACTCCCCCCCTGCGGAGCCTCGAGCTTCTCCCGCGCCCCGTGGGCAGCCCTTGGCCCCGCGTCTGACCCCCACCCCCACCCGCCGCCGCCTTTTCTTTTTGACCCCCTAGCTTTTCGCTGAGTTGATTTTGGGGAGGGGAGTGGGGGGGCGGAGGAGCCAGACTTGGGAACTGGAGGTCTTCATGCTGCATTCAAGGAGATGTTCTCCCTGGTAACTTTTATTTTGGGGGGTGGGGTGGGTGGGTGTATGCGGGTATTGGGACTTGAACTCAGGCCTGGGCGCTGTCCGCGGCTCCACTTCCGGCTTTTGGGTAGTTCCTGGGAGGTAGAGAGTCTCCTGGATTTTTCCGGTCTGCGTTGGCTTCGAACGGTGATGCTCGGATCGCAGCCTCCGGGGCAGCTAGGATTACAGGCGCGAGCCACCGACGCCTGGCTTTCCGCATAACTTTAATTGCTTCTCTCCCCCCCCCCCCATGTGATTCTGTTGAAACACCGCTATTCTTTGTTGGAGTTCTTTACTGGGAGGGGGAAATCACATAAAAGAGGGAGGAGCCTCAGGAAAAGTTGGCTTGATTATTGGGAACCTTTTTGGACTCTTAATTGGTACTGCACAAGCTAAAAAAGGCTTGGAGAGTGTGTAGGGCCTTGTGCTAATGAATCTAAAACAAGGGTAAAATGCCTCCTATTTGTCAGTTATTGGATTGCTCTAAAACTTCGAGCATTCTTGTAAAAGTGAACCAGATGAGTGGCGTCTAAAATAGAAATAAACGTAACATTTCAGAGACCACGTTACATAGCATCAAGGTGAACAGCAAAGAGCCTGTGTCATATAGTCCAGAAAGATGAGTGGACGGTTCCTAATTTTCATTGGTAGGTCACACTCAAGACTCACCGTTTGAGGTTTCAGATTTTACCGCCCCTAACCCCATAACCATCTTTTCCCTCCATTTTGAAAATTAAGCAAAAAACCCAGTTTTATGTAAAACTATTTTTTTTTCACACCAGGACTGTTTTAAGATTTTGATGTTCAACTTGATCGTTTATTCGAAATTACCTCCAAAGATGGTTTTAAAAAACACCCTGGTGTCCAAATTCCCACTAAAATTGGGATCATCTAAGATGAAACCTAGACAGACATCTAGTCCGACTAAGAGCTCTCAAGGTGAGTGCTCTGTGCAGCTAGGGGTGAGAACCACCAGGAGAAGCTTAAGTCGTGGCTAAGCTGCTGAGCCCCCATCTTTTCTAGTTAGCTGCATTGCAATGCGTTTGTCTCCCGTCTTTTGAATTTTGTTCTTTGAAACAGTAAATTCTGATTTCAGAGAAGAAAAAAATTGGAGAGGCTTTTGTTTTACTCTAGTTAAAATCAGCAAGGGGAAGCTAATAAGGACTAATAGAATTCAAGGTTTTTCCCTCCAGTTTATATTGGAGAGAGGCGGTCCACACATCCCCTGCTATTGTAGGGGGAGTCATGTGCCTGGGTACATGTTCTCTGGAGATTCCTAGGATTTCCTGGGAGGTTTTAAATTTCTACATAACTGTGCCTTCCCAAAATTAAAAAAAAATCACAACTTTGACCTTTCAGTCTTATTTAAATTTCTGAAGAAAGCGGTTATTTTCCTGTGATTGAGAACACTTGAGAACACATTTAGAAAATGCGTTACCTTTTTAAAGGTATACCTGAGTCAAATAAGGTTTGTTACAGTAGTTAAATGTTCAGTCTTGCCTAACGAGTCTGATAAAACATTTCCAACTTGACATAGGTGTAAGTCAAAATTATCACCCATTTTCTCTAGCACTGCAAGAAATTGTCATGAATTCCAAGCTACATACAGTTAATGAGATTATTGTGTGTGTTCAAGATTTAAAGTCTTCTGAACTGTGACCTCAGTAATTCAGCAAAGGAAAAAACAGCATCAGATTTTGTGCCATTTCTTGGTGGGAGGAGCCAATGGAAATCCTTTTGGGGATGGGCTTTGTAAGCAAAAGTGGGGAAGTGTTTTGTGATGGCTGAATGGTCTTAAAGGGAATGAAAGTTTCAAGTTTTATATTACTGTTCTTTGGTTGTATAGCTCAAGACACCTAATATAAGTAGCCTAATATAAGTAGATAGTTTTTGTAGTCACACTAGTACATTATTTCTCTCATGTTCTAAATTTTGACTCTGAATGCATAGCAGCAATAAAGAAAGGAGTTTTAGTTCCAATATTGAGATTCTAATAGTATGGACACATCCTTTTATTTACTAATGTCAAATAAGCCTTTTTCTATGTTTAGGCCTCATTTAGTTAGAAAAATTTGGAAGTTGGAGGCCATGTTATATATTGTTGTCTAACACCAAATTTAAAATTTTGCTCATAGTTTTCTTTTTTATAAAAGGACTTACTGAAAAGTTTTTTTCACTTTTGTTATCAGAAGTTGTTTTGAGGTAGATGGGGCAAGGCATATTTCTATCCTTTATTTGGGGACTTTGTAGATGAGAAAGGCCAAGGGCTGTGTAAGGAGTTAGGATAGGTTCAGATGGTTACTCAAGTTAAGATTAAGACTGTTTAATTTTCTTTGTATGAAATGGTAGTAGTTTCTGATTTCTTTGGTAACGGTCTGCTAAGAAACCTTTTTTGGTAATTCACTGACTTTGCATATAGGAATGATTTTAGTAAAATACTGCATTGAATAATGTCCTTTTTTCCCCCATTTGACTGTTTTTCCTTTAATCTTGAAAATGTAACTTTATTGACTTTTTGCTGATGAGTGTAGAGTTTCTATTTGTCAGTCAGCTGTGCAGTAAGTAGTGTGTTTTGGCAGTAGTGTGTGTTGTCAATGTCAGATACAGTCCCTTTTCCTAAGGAGTTCATGATTTAGTAGGTAATAACAGTTGTTACATACTAATAACATCTATTATAACATCTCTATTACATTACATACTAATAAGGTTTGTTAGATGTTATTACATACTGGTAACATCCTGATAGATGTAATGGGAGCAAAAGGGAATGAGTATATGATGAACTTCATGTTACAGTATTAAAAATCTCTTAAACTTGATGTCTGAGGACAAATAGATGACCAGTGGAAGAATGTGGTTAGAATGGGCGTCTCCAAACTTTCACATAATTTAGTTAGGCCTTTGGGCATCCCTATGTTTTATAGGTAAGGATGTTAAACATGCCATGTACTTTGTCATTTTTATTAAAAAAAATAATGTAATGACCCAAACATTAGGAAATAAACTCAGAATAATTTGAGTATTTAATATTTTTGAACATTGAATGTGAGTTTATTTATCCATATATTAATATAATCAGCTCCCCTTATTTTTCTCATCCTTCTGCTTGCCTGTAAGAACTTACTGACTGGTATTTGAGGGATTGGTTTAGTGAAGAGAATGTTGAATTGAGAAACAGGAAGCTGGGTACCTGTGGCTCACACCTGTGATCCTGGCTACTACTTAGGAGGCTGAGATCTGAGGATTATGGTTTGAAGCCAGCCTGGACAGGAAAGTCTGTAAGACTCTTATCTCCAATTAAATCACAGAAAAAGCCAGAATTGGTTCTGTGGCTCATGTGGTAGAGTACTAGTCTTAAGCAATAGGTGCTTAGGGACAGAGCCAAGATCCAGAGTTTATGCCTTAGGGTGGCCAAAAAAAGGGAGATGAACAAAAGAAAAGAGAAATATAGAATATTACTAGTAGGTTCTTACTACATGCTTGATATTTGTTCTAATCCTTACCAGAGCCTTGTAAGACAAGTATTATCTCTCATTTAAAAGTGAGGAAACAGTCTTTGTGGTTAAGTAGCTTACCCGATGCATTCAACTAGTAATTAGTAGAGTCTGAATTTTAATCTTAGCATTTTTTTCTCCTTTTTGAAGAGCTGCTTTTTTTTTTCCACCTTACCTCCCGGTTGCTTATTACTAACTACATAGTTTTATGAAATATACTTCATCTGTGGGTCATCTCTCTTTTCTATCTGTAAATTTTACCATGTAGAATTCAAGCTTATTCATTGAGGGTAAGTCTCTTGATTGAATGAAAGCATTTGTCTGGCCAAATGGACAGAAAAATAATAATTTTTTGTGGCAGTAATGTTTGTTATGTATTTTCATTCCTATGTTGGAACTTAATTGGCTTAAAGTGACAACATTTCTGACACTTAGTTTGAAGCCACGTTTTATATTTTAGTTTGTGTATTTTTATTTTGAGTGAGACAAAAAATAAATTATTTAAAAATATTGAAGATACATTTGTTTGTTGACTTGTTTGTTGATTATATGTATCCTGTTCCATATAGTTCCTTGTTGAATTTGCAAGACACCAGACTGTGTTACCATGTGGATCAATAGTAACTTTTGTATTTCACTGTAGAACATTTTTTAAAATGTCCTGAGATCTATGGTGAGTCATAAATGGATTTTGTGGATGGAGAAGTAAATGTTAGAGTACCTCACAAGTAGAGAGATAGGTTTGTTGAAATCTGTTTCAGGTGTGATGTGTGTATGTGGATTGTACTGTATTTTATCTGGTCGTGGTACTGACTAGGTCATGGAAAACAGTGTTTGAAAACCACTCCTCGCATTTTGGGCCAGATGATTCTTTGTTGTGCAGGCTGTCCTCTGCATTGTTGGATGCTTTAGCTGCATTCCTAGCTTTAACCCTCTAGGTGTCAGTAGCACTTCCCCAGTGGTGACAGTCAAAATGGTCTCTAGACCTGACCCTTTATCTTCTGGGGGGGAATAGGGGTGGCAAAAATGCCTCTGTAGTCAACTCTTCTGCTTCAAAGCAGGTATTCTTCCTGAACATTGGCTGTTTTGGATTTGGAAAGGGAGCTTTATGGTTTCGGCAACTTGTGTCTTGTGAAAGAGCATAGGTGTTGTAGACAGAATCTGGGACTCCATTTTGTTGTCTACTGCTCCGTTCTGTGATTAGGCTGAATGGTTTCTCTGAGCTGCAGTAGATTTAATCTATGGTATGGAGCTGATAGTACCTCTGTTCTGATAATTGTTTTAAGAAACAATATTTATAACACCTTGTATAAAGTGTTTTATTGTCTGCCCCAATGTGTCCTTGAAATTGTTAGTATCCAGATATTTTTTTCTTTTAAGTTTATATACAGTATTTGAATACCTTTGTTAGAGACAGCCTTTTGGAGAAACTTTATGCAAAAAGATTTTTAGGAACACATACAATATGTTCTCGTTGTTAAATGTTATAACGTCTAAGTCTACCAATGTTCAGTTTCCAGGTTAAAAGCATTTACACTTTTTGAAAAACTGGCATGAGCATTATTTTTTTCTTACCTATCTATCTACCAGTGGTCTTGTCTTCACTTATTAATCAGATTTACTAACACCAAGAATTTAACACAAATGAAACTGTTTCCTCAGCCTGTTCTATAAACATTCTCTCCGCAAGTATGTTGACTTTTCTTCTGATCATTTTTTCTAGCTTTATTAATGTAAAATTGACAGATAATACATGTTCAAGGTATGTGAACTACTGAGGTTAATGTACATTGTCTAATGCTGAAAAAATCTATAATTCATCTCTAATACATCCATTGCCATGGTTTTGAGTGTATGTATGTGTGTGCATGTGTGTGTTGAGGTGAAAGGATGAGGAACTTAAGATCTATTCTTTTGGCAAATTTGGAGAAACAAAGCAGTATTATTAGCGTTACTTACCATGCTGTTCAGTAGATCCTTAGAACTTTAAGTACTGGGGCTTGAATTCAAAGCCATGAGCTCTCCAGGCTGTAGTTTTTTGTTTGTTTGTTTGTTTGCTTATTTGTTTAGCTTTTTTTTTTTTAACTCATGGCTGTCATTCTATCACTTAAGCCATACTCCAGTTCAAGCTTTTTGCTTGCTAATGAATTCATCTGCTCAGGCTAGCTTCAAACTCTGATCTTCAGATCTTTGTCTCCTGAGTAGCTGGGGTTTTTAGTGTGAGTTTTATAGAAGGTAGTAGCTTGCTATCAGTATCACTTTACCATCTGCCCCTAGAATGCTTTTAACCACTATTCTTTTTTTTTTTTTTGGTCAGTCATGGGGCCTGAAAGTTGGGCCTGCGTGCTGTCCCTCAGCTCTTCAGCTGAAGGCTAGCACTCTACCACTTGAGCGTCAGCCCCACTTCTGGCTTTTTCTGCTTATGTGGTACTGAGGAATCAAACC